CTATTGGTCGAAAAAGATCAAGTTTCAAGGACAAAGAACAGCTCAGAATTCCGAAAAAACAGTCTGTGACTCACACGTCTTGGAACACCATAGAACAAGGCTTATGATAAGCCTGRTTCTAAGGCCTGTCWCTGCTGTTGTTCCCGACATTTCCTGTTCATCATAGAGTAAGTAAAATAAAATTATTTTACTTTCTCTATGCTGTTCATTTAATATTGCTATTTGCCGAATCATGGTGCASGTTCCCAGGGCCGCGCCAAGCCGGTCTGGCGCCGTCGTGCSAGTTTGGACAGACTTTAGRTACTTACTATGTTCTATATTTTTTCTAAATTTTATGAGAAAAAGCCAATTAAATAAAATCTATATATTCATTACATGGTTAGTAAAAATGAAACTTAGAATTAGTGGTTAGTAGCCATAGGCATATTAAACTTTTTGTTTGCAAACAATATTAACTCAATTTAATATGTTGTACCACAGTACTAACATGCAAATAAACTGACATTTTTTTATCTTTCTTTTGACTTTTGGCGCCGTCGTGCAGTGCACGCCTTCGCACTAATGGACGGCGCGGCCCTGCTAGTCCCACTCCCATACATACAAAACCTTACCACTTCACGAGAATAAAATATCTCCTTTCACTAAAACTCAGGCCATTTGACAACGCCGCGGGGAATCAAAAAGCACAAAGGCAGGTATTTGCCTTTTTGCTGTGTTGAAATATCGAAATACCATGTTGTACTGGTCCTGACCAGCATCGTAGGCGAGCCCTGTTATTTCAAATCACATGTTTTTTTAAATATCGATAACAGGTACCCACTGTTCCATATCGATATCTGTTCCAAAATACCTGTGACAAGTATTTCGTGTCATCCCTAGTCGCCAGTTCAACTACCGATGAGGGCGCTGCGTGGCTACTCGTTGTGGTAGATGGAGCTAAAAATAGGAGAGTCCAACGTTGCCGCTCTCCACGAGTGGGTCATTTTTCATCTAACCCCCATTTTATTCGTTGGCAGATCTGCCAAGGAAACAGCTATGTTTGTTCTATTTTCCAGACTTCACATTTAAAAATGCCTGCATTGTGTGACTTGCGGAAAAGTATTTTCACCTGATACTAATCGCAATAGACATGAACAAGTATTATATGAAACCTTCTGGTGAAAATAAAATATTAAATGTTTCTGGAAAGCATGTACAAAGTTATTAAATATTGAAATTTGGATGGGAACAAAGTGAAAAGGCTGGACAGCAGTTTTGACTGTTCCGTCCTCTGCCACGGAGTCACACAAAGCAGGCATTTTTAAATATGGAGTCTGGGAAATAAAAATGGTTGATTTCCTGTCTACCTGCCAACGAATAAAAGTGGGGTTAGATTAGAAATGACCCATTCACAGTTAGCGGCAACGTTGGGCTCTCCTATGTTTAGCTCCTCCTCTCTAGACGCGAGTTTCCGTCACAAATAACCCATAACCTATCATTTCCAGTTTGTTTTTGGTGTTGAGTGTTGCTAGAAATCGAAACTAATTTTGTAGTTGCAGTTGTTATTTATATAAATATACATTTACGTTTACAAACGGTTTTGTTCTACGCGATTAGTTTTATACTACTGTAAAGTGTAGACTGACTCTCTCCGAAATTCGTTTAGCAACGTGTGTGTGATCTTAAATATGGGTCGCCGTAAACCGGGTTTTAGAAAGAATCACTACTTCAGCCATCAAAGAAAAGTATGTTACCTGAGGAGCTAAGCTAGAGCAAAGTCGACGTTTAAATCTTGTTTTAGGGAAAGTCACCACCACCGCAAAGTGATGATAGGAAGCCTTACAATGATATTGTCAGGGAAAATGAGAAGTTTGTCGAGTACTATAAGGTGAGTAAAATATCTGTCAAAAATTAAGTATTTTTGGTAATTATTTATGCGATCAGGCMCCCGCGTTYACGGTTAACAATAGGCTCACCTTATAGAATGTCACTTTACAAATAMSGTTTTTTGCGCAAAGCAAGAAAAAACTGAAAATTTGGAGAGACTCAAACGACACTAGCACTTTCTGAGGCCGATTTTGTAGCTATTTGTTTTTTATTAGTTTTGTTTAATTTGGCTTAGCTTGTGTTAGTTTGCGTCAGTTTGTGTTGATTTAGGTTAGCGGACACTGATGGACAAATTTAAATTTCAAGGAAAAAATGTTAAAAACCCAACGTTCTTTATTAAAACTTAAATCATTGTTTTTCAAATCAATATGAGAATAGTTTAATGATCTTTCTCGGATGACTACAAGGGTCGTACAACTTGGGTCTCCAAAGAAATGCCACCCCAAAACGTTATTAAACCGCCACGGAAAACCAGTTGGGAATCATACATATTTGGCTGTATTTTTCTTCTGGTCTTAATCGTAATAAAATGCTCTATTCGGTAAAGCAATAATCAAGTATTGATGACATTTAAAAAAACTGAAATTTGTGACATATGTCAAAAATGACAACATTTTGGAGAAATGTCTTATGTCATTTTGTTTGGAATTCAATTTCCTACAAGTTTTCCTGTCAAATTAATATCGGACAACGGAACTAGGAGTAATTTACAAATTTACCATAAATAGGTTTTTTCAAAATATCTCTTGACAGCTGTCAAGTTTTACAAAAATAAAATTGGTTTCGAGTAGAGCATTCAAAACTACAATTATTTGTCTATTTCATCTTCTTCGTAACTGGTCTTGTTCCGAAGATCCTTGTACTAGTCATCGAAAAAAAAAATCTCTTCATCTTGACCTCTTCTGGTTCCATTTCTTCTAGCCTCATAATAATGTGGTCAGCAAATGCTCTATTAGCATTCGCCGGCTGAAGGTCCTTTTCGTTTCTTTCTAGTTCTTAGATGTAGATGTCGTACAAGTCATTGCTGCCACCTGAGTTATTTTCAATAACATAAAATCGTTATTGAATGATTTATTTTTGAATTGTTATATTTTTTACTATTGATTTTATTTCCATTTAGACTCAAAATGTGTGCGATCCTGAAGAATTTGACGACTTCATTTCGACTATGAAAAAGGATTTACCATCGACCTTTCGAATCACTGGATCTAAAGGAGTGGCAAAGAAAATGTTATCTCTAGTTGAACGAGAACTAATTACAGAGTGTATCCAAAATGCTACGCCCGGGAAACCGACAAATATGTTTCCTTTGCCCTGGTAAGTAGAATAAGATGTTGGTTTTTTGAATTTTTTAAATCGATTAAGTCGAGCAAGGAATTAAGCTCGAGTTTTGAGTGTAGTTGGGGCTTTCAGAATTCGCAGTTCTTCTTGGCGGCAGATATACGGGGTGTCAATTTGAAAACTTTCACCCTTAATATCTTTCTTGCAGTTAAAACTATGAAAAATCGGAGTCAATATAAACATTTCTTATCCATTTCATATGCAGCAACAATACCAGCAAATCTAGCTTCTGTAGCCACGCCCTCAACTTTTCAGCTTTTGCAGCTTCAAGATCTTGAAACAAGCAATGTTCCAAGTTGTTTGCAATACACCCATTGTTTGCAAATAAGTATGCTACAGGTTGCACTAGCCGTACTAGCATAAACAATAAAGCCTGGGTTTACTAGATGTTCTGCCACCAAAATCTTAGAATCCAAGAATGTTGTCGCTGCCACGATCATATGCAATGTTCTCTGAATATCCATCTCACCGAACAGAAAAACGCAAGATATGTCTGGAAAAACTTCAATCGCTTCATTTATATGTATGCGAAAACAGATGTTCGTTAATCCCAACATGAAATGCAAGTTTTCCCAGCATTGACAAGCGTGGTCTTTTGCTAGGAAGCCGTACACATTTTTGAAGCCTTCGGTAGCATTTAGGACTTTCTTTATAAATAGTAAGAGCCATAACTTTATCATCAAAAGTCCATCTTCCTTTCGACTCTTTGCTTCTTGAGTAGCTAATTTGAGCCAACAGAAAACTGGAGGTCAATGATGGCATACCTGACACAATTCATGAGCCTACGGCTGATGATGATAAGTTTGGCAATGCTTTAATGTCGTTGCCTCTCTTCCTACATAAACGTTTCACTTTTCTCAACTGATTTCTGTTGATTATGGGAACTGATTTGAATTTCTTTGGGAAATTTTCTAAATTGCTCAGCTCATCAATACTTCGAAACAACTTTCTAAAAGGAGTTACTGGATGTTGTTTCGATGTGGTTGGGTGGCATTTATCAGTCATATCACCTAAAACTATAACACAATAATTCTATTTAAAAATTATGTTAGTTTGTATATACTGACTGATTGTTAATGGAACATTTGCCACCCAACTATCAGGATTAACTGTTGCTACGTTTTCCATAGAGCGTTCCCCAAAGGTACACTCAATTCCAATAAATCTATTTGGAACTGCGTTATGAACCAGTCTCAAATCTTTCGAATTTGCATAACAATTTTTCGAATAGTAATTATTGCATAACCTGTAATTCTGCAGTGTAAGACCCGAAATAGTATATTACGGTACAAGAGATGAAAGTCGAAGTTTCGCCACTGCATTTAGAAGAAAGAGTAACTTTGCTAAAACTGGAAAATTCTTAAGTTTAGAAGACATTTTAAAAATATTATTAATTAGTGGCCCTTAAAATAAATCTACAATCAATTTAAAAAAAGTCATCAACATTTTCCCAGTAACGGCACTGAGTTACTGCGCCGGTACGTTGGATTGGCGCACCAAGCCTTTGCGTAGACTGCACCATCTTCTAAAAATTCACTGAGTTACCCGGGCCTACTGTGCACGCTTAGTTTTACCAGCAGAATGGGGTTTCCCCTGTAATACTGGGGTTTCTCCGCACGACAATTTTTTTAATGCTTTAATTTACATTGAAAATTGTCCATACGGTAAATTAAATCAGTTTCCTAACTTTTGTTTAGGTATCCGGATAAATTAGCTTGGCAATTGGAATTGACAAGAAAAGATATCCGTAGCGTGGAAGCTTACTACAAACTACACAACTTTTTAATTTCCGAGACAGAACATGGTACGATTTCTAGACAGGAAACGGTTAGCATGATTCCTCCATTAGTACTGGACGTTCAACCGCACCATAAAGTAAGCACTGTCTCTTCTGTCGAGATTGGGAAAGAAAATGTTTTATTTTTATTCAGATTTTGGATATGTGTGCTGCTCCTGGCTCCAAGACAGCACAGCTTCTCGAATTATTGCATAGCAGTGGCGATCCAATTCCCTCTGGATATGTCATAGCAAATGATGTTGATAATAAGCGTTGCTACATGTTAGTCCATCAAGCTAAACGTCTCAACTCACCATGCGTTGCGGTCATTAATCATGACAGTGCCCTGCTTCCGAATATATTTGAGAGTCTCCCCGATGGCTCAACCCAACAGGTAGGTGTTTTCTTATTAATAGAAAAATATTCGGGATGTCGGGACTCCCGAAACAAACAAATCACGGAACACCAATCCCGTTCCTTGAAACCATCCACCCAACCAATTAGGGAGGGGATGGGAAGCACCAGCAAGCTTTAAGTATTCCCATTCTGGTCCATCTTCTGACTTATTTCTCTCCGACATATCCTAAAGCATGGGGCACGCGGCATGGGCATCAGGTCAGCCAAAGCATTGCTCAACACATATCAACCCAAAAACAAATCTTGTTAAATCCCTTAAGCACGCCTTTCCATTTCCCTCTATACCTAAAAAAATATTATTTTCTTGATTCTTCTTCAAACAGCTTACAACAAAAATCCCTAGTCTCCGCTTAGGTATCACTTCAATACCTCTTCTCTGCCGCTTCTTTACCACTTGCCAACCAATTATCTACCATTTCTCTACCACTTCTCTCCACATCCCCACTAGGTACGAGCCGGCCTTCCCCATGAACGTGCACGAGGGGAGGTATTTGGACGTGTTCCCCAAGGGGGACCGGAATAATAATAAAATAACGGCTGGTCTACCTAAAAATATGTCGGAACTCTCTTGCGAGCCCCGCTGAGAGCCCCATCCCAGAGCGCTTGTAAAAACTTACTGAGGCCGGAGGACAACTCGTTTATTCACTCGTTTTGTGACACCGACCACATAGCTTCTCCCCGTTTTTAGTGCCGAATTTTTCGAAAATCCATTCCAAAAGCAGTGGATATTGAGCAGGAAACTGATACAGCATTTTAAAGTTTCATGCTTGAAATTTCTGAAAAATTGAGGAAATTTAACAATAAATTGATCTTGCAGGGTGGATAGAGCCCGGTTTTGTCTATTGATTGGTAGTGAAAGCAGAGCTCCGACTTATTCCTATTTAGAGAAACGCATTTTTTAAAATTGCTTTTTGAAGTGATAATTTTTTATGGGAGGGTGAACCGATTTTTCTCAGTCACAGCGAGCCGTAACGGCGG